AGCCTGGAAATAAAGACTCAATACCAAATACCAGTAGCCTATTATTAACACTGTTACTGTTAAGCTTAACATTTAAGAATAAATGTTTTTATGACTACTTTATCTTCACACTAAAGTAATTAAGTTTATCTTTAATTATATAGAACTTAGATATATAACTTTATTAGAAGTGACAATAACTAGCCTTTACTTTGATATATACGTAATGTTAATAATAGAATGTATTTAGCTTGATTGATATTGTAACCTACCTATAACTATAAGCTGAATTTAAACTAATGGATCAAAGTTCAAGTACACAAGTTAATCTTTAAAACAGGAGAAGACAATAAATTAGACTACAGATTGTTTTTATTTAATAAAACAATACATCAACCTGTTTTATTATTTACCATTAAGTTGAATTATAGCTAAGCATAAGGTACTGTTACACGTAGTAAGCCTAATTTAACATTGTACTACAATTTACATCACTAAATTCTTAAGTTAAAACTTTGACCTTCTTACTTTTATTTACTAATCTTACTAAATCTAGTTATTCTTTTGTTATTTAACCAAAATTAGTACAGTTGCTATAAATGCAGTTAAGGTATGTGTAACTATGAGATGAACATAACCTAATACCAAAACTTTGCCCACATTTCCTGTAAGTGAGAAATCCCAAACTACAAACAATTGACATAAGCAACAAGTATACATACACATAATATCTTTATAAAATATACAAAGTTTTCATTATACTAGTTTACAGACGTTTTTCACACTCACTATAGAAACTGACTTTCTGAAGTACAGTTTAATTTATTTAGTTTTTTTATCAACTTCTTACACAGTTTCCTCTAAAAGATAATACAATTTCTCTGAAAAAGATCTTATTAATTTCTGTCTAGCTTAACAATCCAACATATCTTTAAAAAGTTGTCATTTATTGCTGGACAAATTCAGAAATGTTTTCTAGCATCTTTATTTCACTCATTATGGCTGTACAAATTATATTAGTCGAAAAAAAAGTAAAATATCTGCTCCTTTTTCTAATCTAATTGCAATACTATAGAACTATACTACATCAAAACAGTTATTCTGCATTTATCTTACTAGGAAGCCGAGTCATTCAGCTGATATTCTCTGGAGCGGGAATAACACTTCTGGACGCCCGAGTCCAGCCAGAGATTTTTCATGACCACAGCAAGGTCTTGATTCAGCTCTCCTTCCTGAGCTGCACCTGCTTCTGTGAAGAACTGTCGTGCATCATCCTGAAGAGGGATAAAACAATTATTTCAACCTTTGCTATACAGCCACTAGATTAAGTTACATTAAAAAAACAAAAACAATATCCTTCCACAAAATTCTCTCCCAAGTTCCTGAAAGCTTATTCACAGCTTTTTTTTTAATTAAGAGACATTTCAAAATTTAACAAAGTAACATCTCTGTTAAACAAAATGTAAGATGGACAACAAGTTTAAAATATGCTAACTAAGTAATACAATACAACGATGTTTTATGATGTTAAGATGTAGCAATGTAATTTACCACCACAAAATTATCATTCTCAATTATAACTCTAATAAATCAATGAAAGCATGTACTTTCCACATTTTAAACAAAATATTTACTCTTACACCATTTCCCTCACCTTGATAATGAAAAATGAAATACAATCTACATTTCTGTTTTAACACAAATTTACTTTGCAAATATTTCACATACCATAAAACCCAATCTCCTAAGATCAAAAGTTAAAAACAAAAAGCTTGTAATTAATTTTGTATTACTACAGTTGCTATCAATACAGTTAAAGTGTGTGTAACTATAAGATGAGCATGATCCAATACCAAAACTTGCTCACATTTACAGTATCTGAGAAATCCCAAATAATGCTGTACATAAACAAATGCTGTGATGATATGCCGATGTTGTAAGTATTTCAATCTTTGTCATTCACTGACTTCCAACCAATAGTTTTTTGTTTTTTTTCCCCTATGTATGGTGTGTGTGTGTATTTCCTTTTTTTTTAACAGAATTTTCCTGAAACCATAATCATATTAACAACAAAATAATTATAAAAGTAAAATTACTGCTCTGAAATATATTATTAACACATATCATGTTTATTTCTGGTAATTCTTAGGAAAAAACTTTACTGGAAGATCCTTAGTATTACCAACAATTCAAATACAGGCCACATGACACAACTACTGATAATCAGTATAAGCAACAAGTACACATTGTGAACAACACAACTACAAACAATCTGTATAAGCAACAAGTAAACATGCACATTGTGAACAACACAACTACAAACAATCTGTACAAGTAACAAGTACACATACACATTGTGAACAACACAACTACAAACAATCTGTACAAGCAACAAGTACACATGCACATTGTGAACAACACAACTACAAACAATTTGTATAAACAACAAGTACACATGCACATTGTGAACAACACAACTACAAACAATCTGTACAAGCAACAAGTACACATGCACATTGTGAACAACACAACCACAAACAATCTGTATAAGCAACAAGTACACATGCACATTGTGAACAACACAACTACAAACAATCTGATATAAGCAACAAGTATACATACACATTGTGAACAACACAACTACAAACAACTGATATGAGCAACATGTACACATACACATTGTGAACAACACAACTACAAACAACTGATATAAGCAACATGTACACATACAACACAAATACAAACAATCAGTTTAAACAAGAACAAATGCATTATGAACAACACAACTACAAACAATCTGTATAAACAACAAGTAAACATACACATTGTTTGTACTTGTGTTGTTCACAACCTGTATAAGCAACAAGTACAAGTTCACATTGTGAACAACACAACTACAAGTACATATGAACAATCAACATTATTGTACCTACAAGTACATTTGCTAACATTTTGAAGGATTTGATTTTTTTGGGAGGAAAAGAATTGTATAAAGGCAACAATAATGAAACAAGTAGTGAAATGATATTTTATTCACTCCTTAGAAATTATAAAATCAACTTTATTACTAAGTCATTATTCCTCTAACTGCATAACTAATGATGATAAAACTTGGTGAAGATAAAAAACTGAATTAAAAAACAAAATGCTTCTGATGAGGTTAAATATGTCAAACACTTGTTATTAAATATACTTACAATACACGTTTAGTCTACAGGTTATAATTTAATCTAAAATCGAACACCAGACCCACAAGTGCACAACCTTAGTGGAGTTGGTTCTCTGGTAGTTCAGAGGTAAGTATGAGGGCTTATAAGGTTAAAAATCAGGTTTTGATACCCACACTGGGCAAAGCACAGATAGCCCATTGTGTAGCTTTGAGGTTAACATAAAACAAAACTGGAGCTGTCTTTCACCTCAACCATAAATATCGTCTAGCCAAATTCACACGAATTTATACATAACTGCGCTAATTCGCGTTTACAAAACAATGCAACACAAAGCACTTATCACACTACAATAACCCCTATTCTCTTCCTGTAGTAACAAATTAAAATAATTATTTATAATCTACACAAGTTACTTTATTGATTATAACGTAAGACTCGCCGATATTTTTCAGATGAATGTTGAGTAAAAAAATTAGCATTTGAGCAATGAATGCAACTGTCTTTTTTTTTTTATAAATTAATGGTATAATCTATTGTGTGAAATACGCGAAGATCAATTTTGGAATACGTCCACCCTAATACTCTTAACATTAAAAAACAGGTACATGACTGAGCAACAATTTAATTTGTTAGATATGATGAATCATAATTCCATTTTCAAAACTATGTGTCATTTGATTTTTAAATGTTAAAAATGGACATCACTATGGCGTCCGAAACAACAGGCCTAACCGACTACCATGATTCATTATCCTGATTTGGTACAAGACATCAGTAATGCCGTCGTTATCTCAGTTTGCCTTCGAGACAGAACAACAGAACGCAATGCTAATAAAGAGACCAATGACCCCCTACTCTTCACAGGACGTACCTTAAGACAGACTGGAGTTAGCTAGCCGAGAGGAAATATTATCTCATGATGACACTGCCTTAAGGTAACAATATCGAGTTACACACCAGGTGTGGGAACACACTCGCGTTCATCTCGTTCAATTAATCTCAGAAAACTGAATTTTGTTTTATTATTCAAGAGCAGATATTAATAATTTTATAAATTATGGGGTTATTTAACAAAAATATTGTACTATTCTATCGCTGACCTCACGTAATTAAAAAAACAATCTACAACAAGACAGCCAATGGCCACATAAACAAGATCATTGTTGTTTTAGACAAGTACATTTGTTTGTTTTTTTGTTTTT